AAAAAGAGGGGGGAGGGGGGCACGGGTGGGGGGGGGGGGGGGGGGGGGGGGGGGGGGGGGGGGGGGCCCCCCGCCTCTAGCCCCCCCACACTCGCCTGCCTGCCCGCCTGCCTGCAGCACCCAACACTGCCCGCCTTGCTCCCGCGCCTCGGTCCCCACCCACCTCCCTCGGAATGGCAGCAGAGAGCTTGCCGTGGTGGGTTGTAGGATCACAGTCTTTTCATCACTAAGTTAGATTTTTTTAAATACTTTTTTGCATTTTTCTACCCAGGGGGGTGGGTGGTGGGGTGGGGCTCCCTCTGCGTCCTGTAGAAGGTTTTTCAACCGCAATGGAGGCCCTCTCCCCCTGCGCACCTACCTCCTCAAACTCGTCCGACTTGTAGAGATTAGGCACCTCTCCGGAGCTGAGGATGTTGTTGATGTCCTCCAGGAAGCACTCGTCCGCGATCTGAGTGTCCGCAAAGAGGAAAGTTGTGGGCTTCTGGTCGGCCCCCGTCTGGCGGTAGAGCCTCTTGATGTCTGCGGGGACAATTGCCAGTTAGGGGGCCTGCTGGCCACGGGGGTGGGGCAGGGCAGGTCCGACGGTCAAGCGCCCGCTCACCTTCCCGGAACTCCTGTTTGCGGTACTGCCTGGAGACCTCGATCTGGAAGATGTAGTACTCGCAGATGCACGAGGCCAGGCGGGCTAGGCTCTGGCGCCCGCTGCCACCGATGCCCACGAGCAGCATGTTCCCGCGTGGCTGGCTGATCACCCGGACGATGCGGGTGACTGCAAGGGAACACCAGAAAGCACCAGGCACTCACGACACGGCCAGAAGGAAGCTGCACTGGACCGGTACTGAGCCGGCCTCCCTTCCAGCCAAGATTCCACCCAGAGGACGGAACGACGACACCCCCCACCTCCAAGTCCCTGTTCAGACCTCTCTGCCGCTGTTTGGGCCCCCCCCCCCACACACAATTTACTAGTATACTGCATTTACTAGTACACTGATGCTACTCTGCCTTCACCATCGTCACTTAAGTTGTTTATTAGCACCTTATTGGTTGTTGTTTTTAATATTTTAATGCTTTTATTTATAGTGTTGCTTTTAGCGATCGCATATCTGGAAGCCTCCCTGAGCCTGCCCTGGCGGGGAGGGCAGGGTGTGAATCGAATAAAATAAATAAATAAAAATCTATTTATTCGTTTCTTTATTTAACATTTGTGAGCGGCCTTTCTGCCCGGCAGAACGCAAGGCAGCGGACGCTAGAAATAAAACAATGATTAAACGAAATGAACCAAAGACCGGAAACTTAAAACCTCCCATTAGGATCCGCAATAAGTTAAAAACTAAGTTAGGCCAATGCAGTCCTAAATAAAACTGCCTCCAGCTGCCGCCTGGAAATCAAGAGTGAGGGGGACAGGCACACCTCCCTGGGAGGCTGTTCCATGAGAGTGGGGCTGACACCAAAAAGGCCCTCCCTCGTGTGCCCACCAGACCAGCTTCTTTGATGGGGGGGGCGACAGTCGGCATGAGACCATGTTTGACGGGTGGGGGGATGTCGCTGCCGCCTCAGAGACGCCAAACTAAATTGGATATAAATGGCTATTTCCAGAAGTCGTCACTTTTAAGATCAAAGATCAAAAAGAAAAGATTGACTCTGTTCTGAAAGCTCAAGAATTCCTAAGGGTTCAGCTGGGAAGACCAGAGGACGGGGGAAAAAGAAGAGGACAGCAAGTCTAGTGGCGAGCTGGACGCGGGTTCTTCCGGAGAGGACTCTCTGACGGAGCAAGGGGTAGCCGCTCCAAAAAGTCCTTATAAGCTGCGGAAGAGACGAGGAAAGGAGAAGTGAAGGCTGAAGGACTCTGAATTGTGCCTTGGAGAACTCTGAAAGGGGATGATTGGGGGTGCTGTTTCTAGACAGTTAAATTTAAGAGTTAAAGAAAAAGAAAGTAATACAAATGTTTGACTCAGTTTATAATAATCTAAATGAAGTGAAGATTTGTTGTAACTAAGCTAGTGAAGATCTCCTCTCTTGGGTTTTTAGTTAGTAGTGGGTTCTTTTGCTTTATCCTATATATGTAGTCCCCCCTTCCCTCTTTTCTGTAGTAGTTTTGTAGTTTGATAAAAAAATAATAAAAAATCCGGAAGAGCACCAGCCTCATCGGCACCACCCCTGGCATCCGGTTGTAGTCACCCAACGCCCGCTCCATCTCTGCCTTCAGGACGGCCATGTCCGTCAGGTCCTCGTACACGTTGCGCATGAAGTCCCCTGGAAAGAGGCACGGCAGAATCCCAGGAGGAACAGACGAGTGCAGCCTGCGCCACGCATCTCGTGGGCTGAAGCCCTGTCTCCTCCCAGCACAAACATCCCGTCTCTTAGTGATCTGGCCAAAAAGCAAAGCAACCCCCCTCCCCCCGGAACGAGACGGCCTGAGAAAATCCGACGACTCCCACCCCCTCTAGCTGTAGACACTAGGCACCACTTCCCTTTCGACATCAACCTTCTGTCTTTCCCCCCAACCGAGGCCAGAGTCAGCGTGCCCAGAGGTGGGCCACATGAGGGCAAGAAGGGGGGGCCTGGTAGTGGGCATGGGGGCCTCTGGGCCGCCTCAAAACCCAGAACCAACCCTCCAGCCCAACTAAGGCTACAAAGTGCCCTGCGGGACTAGGACAGAGAACGCGTCACCGTGTCCACCAAAATACCAGACCTCAGGCCGGGCCCCGGATCCTCTTCACCAGGCCGCTCATGTCCACACGCGCACACCCCACCTCGCCCTCCAGTGCCAGGCTGCCACGTACCAAAGATAGGAGGGCGCTTGTTGGGGCAGAGGTTGTGGAAAGTCAGGTCAAAAGACGTGCCCAGTTTCTCGCTCAAGAGGACGGTGAAGGCCTCCATGTCCTGAGCGTCCACCAGGCGGTCAGAGAAGACCCTGAAAGAGAGGTGGGGGCTCAAGAGTCTCTCTGCTTCCACAGACCGCACCACCTGGGAGCAAAGACCTCCCTGGGTGCCCGGGAGAGGGCCCAGGTGCTCTCAGAAGAGGCTGAGCACGGCCACTCCTGCCCCACCCCGGGAAGGCCACAGGCAGCTGTCCTGCGGCTGACCGGAGACGGCCGGGCCTTTGTGCCCCCACTCCGAGCCCAGAAACAGAAGACTCTGTTTCTCTGCAGCCGCTCTCCGTCAGAAGCAGCAGACGAGGCGATCGCGGCAGCTCTACCTGAAGCACTCGTGGATCCACAGGCGTGTCAGGCTGGCTTTCGTGTCGTGGAAATCCTTGTGCGCCCGCAGCATGCCCTGGAACACCTGAGCAAGAGGAGGCGTGGGAGGAGGGGTGGCTCAGTGGCAGAGCGTCTGCTCAACAAGCAGAAGGTCCCAGGTTCAAACCCGGGCATCCCCAGGCAACGAATCCGGCAGGAGGTGCCCGTCTGTGTAGACCAGACTGACCTCGATGGACCTGGGGAGTGGCTGGGCACAGGGCAGCTTCGTGTGTGTGTTCCAGGGGAGGAGGCCAATCATGGGTCTTCATTTCCCCCCTGATTTTTAAAAACTCTCCACTTTCCTCCATATTAGGGGCTCGAGGCAGTGAACTGGAGACAGGCTGCACCTGACCCACGGGACCCCCAACGGACTCACCAGGGAGGGCAACCGAACTCCCATCCTGCCTCCATCCGGGAGTGCAACCCCCTCCCCCTGCACCACCTGGCCACAGAGGAGGCAACCGCCAGCAGCCCTTTTGCTGGCAATGCCCTTCTCGGCCAACCAGGGGCGTCTCCAGGGGCCAAAAGCCCCCCAAGCCCCCTCAGTCCCAGCATTTCCGTGTCCCAGCCAGCGGCCCCCGAGGTGACAAGCCCCTGTTGGTCAAAAAGTTCTCCAAAAGGACACATTCCAGAGGAGGGGCAAATACGGCCCGGGGAGGGGGCAAAGCCCCCCCAGTCCCCTTTCCCCCCTTCACCAGCTAATTGTCACTGTGCAGAGACTGGAGGGGGGAGGAAGGGGGCTGCCAGAACCAGACCAACTTGCACATGGCCTGCCAGCAGTGTTCCTTCTAAGCTGAGTCAGTGTGAGCCAGCTCACCGTTTTTTAGCCTCCGGCTCACGCATTTTTGTCTTAGCTCAGGAAGGACGGCTCCAGAGCAAACGAATTTATGCAGTAGCCGAATCGCTCGCTCACCACTTTCATGCCAGGAGCTCACAAAGGAGAATTTTTGCTCACGAGACTTAGAGGGAGCATTGCCTGCCAGCATTCGATGTGTGCGATAAGAGCTTCTGGGCTCAGGCCGGGGACAAACATTCAGGGACGTTTGATGTCTTCAAACTTTCTCCAAAGCCGCCATGCCCATTTGATGTGCGCTCCACTGCGCTGGCAGGAAGGCGACTCGCTCGCTCGGAATCCTAATGTTCCTGGCCGTTGGGCCGGCTCGGCAGCTGTGGCCTGCTCACACGAGCACAAGGAGCGCTAACCCTTGCCTGGGGGCTGCCGAGGCGCACGGCTCCCGTCCCACAACCCCAGCCTCAGAACTCTGCGCTGGGGATGCGACGCGACGGAACTCCATCTGCACACACCTCACGCAAATCGGGGGGAGCCGTGCAGGGCCCAGGTGCACAGCCCTCCCCCGGTTTCCAAGCCTTCAGCAGACGCCGCCACTGAAAAGGCCTGGAAACCGAAGAGAACTCTTTTGATCCGGAGAGGGAGCCGTGATATTAGGCAAGACAGCGACGAGGATGTTAGGGAGACGCAAGGGGATCGCAAGGGGAAAGAGAGAAGCTGCCTGAACTCTCAGCTGTGAAGAGCTAACAAGGACTTGCCCGAGGCGGAATGAGTCTGGGAGTCGTGAGCGAGAGGGAGGGAGCCCCCCCCTTTGTGTACACAGACGCATCGATCCAGCCGCACCTGCCTCCCCTGCCTGAACGACAGACAGCCCGCTTCAAAAAGGAGGAGGGAGCCACAAGTGGGGGCGGTGTGATTCCCGCAGACAGGGCCACCCGCCACGCCCCCCCTTCATGCACTCGTGGCGCCCTCTGCGCCCGGGGAAAGCCTCCCCCCGCCCCACTACCCCCCCCCATCCAGGCACCTTGGAGATGTCGCGCAGGTTGAAGAGGTAGTGGATCTTGGCCGGGGTGGGCAGGAACTTCTGGACCACGCTGTTGTACAGCTCCACGGTGGCCTCGGTGATGACGTTCCCAATGGGCTTCACCCCCTCCTCAAAGTTCTGCAGCTTCTGGTTGATCATGGTGCCAAAGATTCGCCGGATTTGGGACTCCTAAGCAAGGAAGGGTCGCGACGGCTCAGGGCACAGGAAGGGCGGCAGGCACGGCACGGCACGCCCGGGGTGGGCTCTGGATGAATCACTCCCGCGTGGCCCTGGCTGCCCACTGGGACACTCCCGGCCTCAGTTGGAGCTTCAGCCTCTACGATGGGCACCCGTGAGCTGAACAAGGAGGGGGAAAGGCGCAGATCCCAGCCACGAACGCCAGCCTTTCAACTGGCCCGTGCTGGTGAGAAGCCCCACAGCCACGCTGTGCGGCCCAGGGAGCCAGCCTCCACCTCTAGGCCCATGGGGTGCAGGGCACCTCTCTCTGGGGCCCACCTCTCGCTATTCTCCCACCCTTTGGCTGGCTGGGACCCCGGAAGATGTAGGGTTAAGGTCCCCGTTCTGCCACCACCGAATTTACAGGTGACCGCAGACACTGCCTGTAAAATGGGGGCAATAATGGCCCAGGCCCTGACAACACTTATGGAAAGAGTTAGAGAAATAAGGATTCTGTGTGTTTGTCTGTGCGGGCGCGTGCGGGCGTGTGCGTGTGTATTTAAAATGCTGTACAGCACTTAAAGTGCCTGAAGTGCTAAACTTTAAAGTGCTTGAAGTGCTAGACTTTAGTGCTATACAGTCCTTAAAGTGCTATGAAGTCCTTAGAGTGCTATACTGATTGTTACTCAGTTCAAGGCTCGCTCAAAGCCGCCGTGCCCCCTGCCATAAGGTGAGGTGGTTTCGAGGGGCAAGCGAAAGGCGGCGTGCCTCCTGTGCAGACCCCGCTGAAACGAAAGGGGATGCACTGTGAGATTTCAGTGCAGGAGGATTCTTCCTGCCGGAGCCCGCTCTGGGTTCATTCATGTGTGCCCAAGGGGATGCCATCTGGATTCTCCACCTGGGGCACCAGAGCACCCTGGGTTGCCAGGGGCATCGGCTACACAGCGTTCCGCTCCCCGCCCCTCCCAGCCTCAGCAGCATCCTTCAGCAAAAGCGGAAAGGCTGCCTGGAACTCCGGCAGGTCTGCAGAAGAGGCATTTCCGCCCTTGATCTCCAGAAGCCAAAAGGTCAGGCGGACAAGCCCTCCGGGCTGCTTGGGGGGGGGATCTGCTGGCCCCCCAAGAGAGCAGGGAGGGGCCGGGTTGCATCTGGGCCCCGGGGCCCTCCCAGCCGGCCTGCGTGCGGAATGCCTAAGCAGCCCTTACTGTGGGGAAGGTCATGTTGATGAGGTTGAAGCGGCTCTGAAGTCGGCTGGAGATCACCGTTCGGCCTCCTCCGGGGGGCCCCATGGCTGCCGTCAGGAACATGTCCTGAGGGGGAGACAAACAGGCCCGGATCAAAACCAGAGGAAAACAAAGGCCTCTGCTTCTTCCACCCCTGCTTTCCATAAAAGTGTTTTTAGTAGCGTGACTGCTAAACGGTCCGGAGGGATCCCCGTGTGGGGGGGGGGGTTGAGGCAGGCAGCATACAAATCAGGCCTGCGTGGAAGCCGAGGCCGTAATAGCTGCCGCGGCACGCGCCACGCTCCAGTCGGGAGATGCTGATTCTCACAACCGGCTCAGAGAGAGAGAGAGAGAAAGAGAGAGAGGGAGGGAGGGAGGGAGGGAGGGAATTATTCCAGGGATTGTATGCCGGCAAGCAGCCCACGAGCACAGGGGCGCCAATGTGAGTCACCTGGAAACCCCAAAGAGGGAGGGGAGGGGAGGGAGAGGCTGTGGCTCAGTGGCAGAGTCCCTGCTTGGCAAGCAGAAGGCCCCGGGTTCAGTCCAAAGCGTCTCCAGTTGAAAGGGCCAGGTAGCAGGTGATGTGAAAGACCTCTTGTGCCTGAGACCCCGAAGAGCCACTGGTGCTCTGAGTGGACGACACTGACCTAGACAGAGCTAGGGGCTGATTCAGTATAAGGCAGCTTTGTGTGCGTTTATGCTCAGACTGCCTGGCGAAGAAGAACTTAGGACAGCTACTAATGAGAGCGGTGCAGTGGTTAAGTGTCTGGACTCCAATCTGGGAGGACCGGGTTTGATTCCCCACTCCTCCACTCGCACCTGCTGGATGACCTTGGGTTAGTCATAAGTTCTTTCAGAGCTGTTCTTGAAAAGAGCAGATCTCTCAGAGCTCTCTCAGCCCCCCCGACCTCACAGGGTGTCTGTTGTGGGGAGGGGGAGGGAAAGGAGTTTGTAAGCCCCTCTGAGACTCCTTTGGGTAGTGAAGGGCGGGGTATCAATCCAATCTCTTCTTCTTTTCTTCATCTAATGCTTCCCTGGGCCCAGGCCAGTTGTCAGCCTCTCCCTTGCAGGAGGGTGAGAGGTGCCCCGGCGGGAGGGAAGGGTAGAGTCGCCCCCCCCCCCAGTGCCTCACCCTGATGTACTTGATGGTCTGCTTGGTCCGGTCGTACCAAAACCCGTAGTCCAGCCAGAGGCGGAGCAGCTCCAGAGGCGGCTGGGAGCCAAACTGGTCCTTGGCGGGCATGTTCAGGTCGTCCATGAAGGTGATCATGCTCTTCCCGCCCAGCGGCACGTAGACGCCCTTGGTGCGCTTCTCCACTCGGCTCTCGATGATGCTCTGGACGTTGTTGGAGGTCGTCTACACGGGGAGAAGAGAAGTGAAGAGAGGAGAGAAGAGAGAAGAGAAGGGATGTATGCCTCACCCTCCACATGGAGTCTCAGAGCGGCTTACAAACTCCTTTCCCTTCCCCTCCCCACACCAGACACCCTCTGTGAGATCGGTGGGGCTGAGAGAGCTCTCTCCACAACTGTCCTTGAGAGAACAGCTCTGAGAGAACTATGGCTTGCCCAAGGTCATCCAGCCAGGTGCAAGTGGAGGAGTGGGGAATCAAACCCAGTTTTCCCAGATTAGAGTCCGCGCACTTCACCCCTACACCAAACTGGGGAGCATGTCGGCATGCATGAGAGCCAGGGAATCAGTACGGGGTGGAGTTCTCTTCAGTTGGCGTGAGGACGACCCGCCACAGTGGTGTGTGTCCCCCCCCCCCCAAAACGAGCACACGGCCAAGAGAGAGGCCTTGACTTCCTGGGCCCGTTACCTGAGCAGACATGTTGATGGTCAGCACGGCCCACTTGGTCGTGTCGAGGGACTGCAGCACACCCTGGGCGATGGAGGTCTTGCCTGTCCCCACCAGGCCGACCAGCAGCACAGGGTTCTGGTTGGACACGAGGGCCGTGACCAGGTAGTTGTAGCGCATGGTGTCCACGGTGGGAACGATGATCTTGTAGAAGGGGGCGCTGGGAAGAGAGGGGAGGCCCGGGCTCAGTTTGGACATGGCGCTGGCCCCAAAAGAATGAACAAGTCACAGACAGGAAGCTGCCTTACACTGACTCAGACCCTTGGTCCCTCAGGCAGAAAAGAGCAGGAGTCCGGGAGAACCTTCAAGACTAATAGGGTTGGTATCAGGGGAGGAGCTTTTGTGAGTCACTGCTCACTTCTTCAGATACAGCTAGAATGAGTCCATCTGTCCTTATATCACATTCTAGCTGTATTGGAAGAAGTGAGCAGGGAGGAGCTTTTGTGAGTCACTGCTCACTTCTTCAGATACAGCTGGAATGAGTCCATCTGTCCTTATATCACATTCTAGCTGTATTGGAAGAAGTGAGCCAGTGACTCAGAAAAGCACCTCCCCTGCCACCAATTCTGTTAGTCTTGAAGGTGCTCCTGGACTCTTGCTCTTTTCTGCTGCTGCAGGCAGACTAACACGGCGACCTGTCTTGACCTGTCGTCTTGGTCCATTCAAGGTCAGTACTGTCCGCTCAGACTGGCAACCACTCTGCGGGGTCCCAGGCAGAAGTCTTTCTCATCATGTCCTTTTGACTGAAGATGTTGGGGATTGAACCTGTGACCTTCTGCATGCCAAGCAGAGGCTCTACCGCTGAGCCACAGCCCCTGCCCACAATGCTGCCTTCTGCTGAATCGGACCCTGGTTCCATCAAGGTCAGTATTGCCCACTCAGACTGGCAGCCGCTCTGCAGGGTCCCGGGCAGAGGTCTTTCGCATCACCTCCTGCCCGGTCCGTCTTAACTGGAGAACTTGGGGCCTTCCGAGCCTCAGCCCCTCCCCTCAGTCTTCCCCGATGCGGCTGTCACAACTCCACGAAGGAGGCCGGTCTAAATGCATGAAGACGTCCACACAAGGCACAATTCTGGCTCCTGTCATCCCCGCTGGAGCTTGACAGCTTGGAATGACGCCGCCGCTAATGAAGGCTTGTCCCCCTCCCCACCCCCCCGCCACTGCCCGGCTCTCGATACAGGCAGCCAGCAGTCCACGGCGGCTCTGGGACCGCGTTCTTGTAATTTCCGGCCACTGATCGGATTAGAGAGGGAGGGGGTGGGTGGGAAATGAATCTGAGCCACTGGCTCGAACGACAGGACCGGCTGGGGGGGCTCCAAGGCAGTGTGAAATCGGGCTGCGGAGCAACAGCGAGGAAACGGATACGGGTTTCACAGAAGCCCCAGGGGGTGGATTAACTCTGGGAAGGAACACCCACGGCATGTGGTTTGCCATGGCCTGCCTCTGCACAGCGACCCTGGGCTTCCTTGGTGGTCTCCCATCCAAGTAGCAACCAGGGCCGACCCTCCTGAGCTTCCGAGATCTAACGAGATTGGGCCAGCCTGGGCCAGCCGGGTCAAGGCAAGAGACGAACACAGGTGGAGGAGGAGGAGGAGATTGGATTTATACCCCGCCCTTCACTTGGAGTCTCAGAGCGGCTTACAAACTCCTTTCCCTCCCCCTCCCCACAACAGACACCTTGTGAGGTGGGTGGGGCTGAGAGAGCTCTTGACAGAAACTGCTCTTCTTGAAGGACAGCTGTGCCAGAGCTTGTGACTGACCCAAGGTCACATCAGCAGGTGCAAGTGGAGGAGTGGGGGAATCAAACCCGGTTCTCCCAGATTAGAGTCCACACACTTAACCACTGCACCAAACTGGCCCAACACAGTTACCCCTCTGAATCCATCTCCAGAGTTCGGTTCCTCCACCTGTTCAGAAAGCAGACTCTATTGAATTACAGTCAGAATTAACCTGCTTGTTTATATATGCTAATTCTTAGCTAGTTAGCTTAGAACCAATTAGGTGTTAGGCATGTATTTCCCGCCAGAGAAAAGGAGGCGTTATTCTCAATGAAGAAGAAGAAGAAGAGAAGAGATTGGATTTATACCCCGCCCTTCACTACCCAAAGGAGTCTCAGAGCGGCTTACAAACTCCTTTCCCTTCCCCACCCCACAACAGACACCCTGTGAGGTAGGCGGGGCCGAGACAGCTCTGACAGAAACTGCTCTTTTTTCAAGAACAGCTGTGCCAGAACTATGGCTTGTCCAAGGTCATCCAGCAGCTGCAAGTGGAGGAGTGGGGAATCAAACTCGGTTCTCCCAGATTTGAGTCCACGCACTTAACCACGACACCAAACTGGCTCTCCACCAAACTGGTGGGCTGCCATGGCTTGCCTTTGTGTAGCAACCCGGGACTTCCTTGGTGGTCTCCCACCTAAGCACTAACCAGGGCCGGACCAGGTTAGCTTCCAAGATCGGATAAGATTGGGCTAGCCTGCCAATCTCATCAGATCTTGGGTGCTAAGCAGGGTCGACTCCGGCAAGCACTTGGATGGGAGACCTCCTTGGAATACCAGAGGCAGGAGGCGGGGGCAGGCTTGATTCAGCCACCTCTCCGAATGTCCTCCAGGCTCCCAGGAGGGGTCGGTCACCAGAGGTCGCCATGACTTCCAGGTGCACACACACACGCACGCGCATATAACAAAAAAAAACTCTTTTAAAAAAAAGAGCCCGGACCAATCAGGGCAGGAGTGGACCAGTGTTCCCTCTAAGCTGAGTTAGTGTGAGCTAGCTCAGAGTTTTTAAGCCTCCGGATCACACGTTTTGGTCTTCACTCAAGAAGGGTGGCTCCAGAGCAAACTCATTTATGCAATAACCAAACCGCTCGCTCACAAGTTTATTGCCAGTAGCTCACAGAGTAGATTTTTTGCTCACAAGACTCCACAGCTTAGAGGGAGCCTTTGTCAGGACTGAAAACACCGTAAGGGGCCACAAGAGAAGAGAAGGCTCCCTGAGCCCTCCGGCTGTGGGACTAGGGCCTGCCGCCCTCCCAACAAGGAGAACAGATCCCCCCCCGCCCCCGGATCTTCCGGAGGGCACCACCTTGGTCTCCTTTGAGAAAGAAAAGTCACATGAGCAGATTTGCGTTTTATGGGCTGAGCCCCACCCCACGTAAGCCCCTCCTCCCCTAACCCAGAACGGCCGAGGCAGCAGCGACGGGCCCAGTTCACTCACTTGGATGGGTATCTCCACATCTTGGGAAGCTTGTCTTCAAACGAGGACCACTGCTTCCGCTTCCCATCGACATAATACTCGTAGACCGTGTCCTGGGAGGGACAGAAGTCAGCTTGTCTAGTGGATTTTCCACAAGGCCTGAGCAAAAGGACAGCCCCTCCCCCCCAAAAAAATCTGGCCCTGGATGGCCCATCCTTTTGGGAAGCGGAAGGTGTGCTAGGTCCGGAGGCAGGTGGTGGTCATTCCAAAGCGTCACACAGTTGCAGAAGCAGAGGGAGGGGTGAAAAAGCCCTTTCTTTCCCTCGCCCCCCCCCCCCCCCCCCCCCCCCGCAGCCCGGTCTCCAGCTCTCCTCCCTCTCACCAAGACTTTCTCTCGCTTTTAGGCCAGGCAGTTGTATCAAACTTTGCATTGCTAGAGGGTGGGGGGGGTGGCCTTGGGCCCAGGTCAACTAGGCCCGTGAGCAGAAAATCATCTCCCAGTGACCTTGTTGGGGAAGGATCCCTCGATCTCTCGCAGGAAGTTGTCGATCTTCTTCCTGCCTTCCTCATCCACCGCCGCACACAAGGACCAGATCATGCTGAAGATGAACAGCATCTCCACCACCGTCTGGTAGCTCTCGACATCCGCAGGATTCAGCTAGAGGGAAAAGGCACCATAAGAACGTCAGAAGAGCCCTGCTGGATCTGACCAGTGAGGGTCCATCTAGTCCAGCATCCAGTCTCACACAGTGGCCAGCCAGTCCCTCTGGAGGGCCAACAACAGGGCAGAGAGGCTAAGGCCTCCCCTGATAAGAACACCAGAAGAGCCCTGCTGGATCAGACCAGTGAGGGTCTGTCTAGTTCAGCCTCCTGTCTCACACAGGGGCCAGCCAGTTCCTCTGGAGGGCCAACAACAGGGCAGAGAGGCTGAGGCCTTCCCCTGATAAGAACATCAGAAGAGCCCTGCTGGATCAGAACAGTGAGGGTCCGTCTAGTTCAACCTCCTGTCTCACACAGGGGCCAAGCAGTTACTCTGGAGGGCCAACAACAGGGCAGAGAGGCTGAGGCCTCCCCTGATAAGAACATCAGAAGAGCCCTGCTGGATCAGACCAGTGAGGGTCTGTCTAGTTCAGCCTCCTGTCTCACACAGGGGCCAGCCAGTTCCTCTGGAGGGCCAACAACAGGGCAGAGAGGCTGAGGCCTTCCCCTGATAAGAACCTCAGAAGAGCCCTGCTGGGTCAGATCAGTGAGGGTCCATCTAGTCCAGCCTCCTGTCTCACACAGGGGCCAAGCAGTTCCTCTGAAGGGCCAACAACAGGGCAGACAGGCCGAGGCCTTCCCCTGATAAGAACATCAGAAGAGCCCTGCTGGATCAGACCAGTGAGGGTCCGTCTAGACCAGCCTCCTGTTTCACACAGGGGCCAAGCAGTTCCTCTGGAGGGCCAACAACAGGGCAGAGAGGCCGAGGACTTCCCCTGATGTTGTCTCCCGGCTCTGGGATTCAGAGGCTGACTGCCTCTGAATAGGGAGGTTTCCTTTAGTCGCCACGGCTAGTAGCCACTGATGGACCTCTCCTCCACGAGTGTGCCTGACCCCCTTTCAAAGCCGTCTGTACCTGCGACCATCACTACACCCCCCAGCAGCAAGTACCTTGACTATTAGCCACAAGGTATAGATAGGGGCTCTGGGGCAAGTGATGCTCTGTCTTCTTGGTGCTTGGGGGGGTCAACAGAGGGAGGGCTTCTAATGTCCTGGCCCCACTGGTGGACCTCCTGATGGCACTGGTATTTCTGGCCACTGTGTGACACAAAGTGTTGGACTGGATGGGCCTTTGGCCTGATCCAACATTGGCGTCTCTTGTGTTCTTATGTTCTTAAGTACCCACAAAATCTGGTATGAAGCAGCACTTCCTAAGCACAAACACACACACACACACACAGCCCCAAGCAAGTCTCCCCAGGAACGTAAATGCTGCTGGCTGGTGTGTGCAGGAGGCAGCAGGGTTCACGTCAGGTCGATACGAGTGCCGGCTGGGTCAATGGGAAAGGTTTACAGTGCTCCTGGCAGGGGACTCCAGGACACCAAAAGATCCAGTGTGTTTTGGGTTGCCCAACAGCACCAGAAGCTGCCTCGTACTGAATCACCCCCTTGGTCCGTCAGGTTTGGCACTGTCTACTCACACTGGCAGCGGCTCTTTCTCCGGGGTCTCAGGCAGAGCTCTTTCCCATCCCCTGTGACCTGATCCTTGGCTGGAGATGCCAGGGATTGAACTGGGGACATTCTGCGTGCCGAGCGGATGCTCCACCACTGAGCCACGGCCCTTCCAGAGGGCCGCGTTGCAAGCCAAGGCAGTCCTCGGCTGACCTGCCCAGTAGGTTGGGCAGCATAATCTGAACTAAGTCTGATGCGCGGGGAAGATCCGGAGAAGCCGGAGGGCTTCCAGAGCAACCGGCTGGCTCCCGGTGGCCACCTACCCCGTTCTCTGGAGTGGCCAGGGACGTGAACAGCTTGCAGAGAGCCACAATCCCACTGTACTCGGAGATAGGAACCAGCTCCTGACAGTGATCCTTCTTCAGAGTCAGTATCTTATTGATGAACTTGTCAAACATCCGCTGGAGGGTCTCCGCTTCGGCCTGAGGGGAGAGAGAGCTGACGATGGAAACTCGCAGTCTCCCGCCAAAGCGCGGGCATTTCCAGGAACGCCGACCGGTCCCGGTCCCCAGACTCTCTACCTGACCTCTTCTTCCCTGGTTTCTCCCAACACGGCTCCCTAAAGCCACACTGGCTGTAGTTCCGTCTTCTTTGCGAACCACGCCTCCCCCAGGATTCCTGGACCTCTCCAGCATCTTCCCCCGCTCCCCTCTTGACCCCTACGTGGCCACCACGCTTTTGCCAGGGCCTTGTACCCAATCAGGCCCCTGGTCCATCGAGGCCAGCCTTGTCTACTCAGACCGGCAGGGGCTCTCCAGGGTCTCAGGCAGAAGCCTTTCCCATCACCTCCTGCCTGGTCCCTTGGAGATGCTGGGGATTGAACCTGGGACCTTCTGCCTGCCAAGCAGGTGCTCTGCCACTGAGCCACGGCCCCTCTTTACAGCTCTCCAGGGTCTCAGGCAGAAGCCTTTCCCATCACCTCCTGCCTGATCCTTTTGAGATGCTGGGGACTGAACCTGGGACCTTCTCCACACCAAGCAGAGGCTCTTTCACTGAGCCACAGCCCCTCTTTACAGCTCTCCAGGGTCTCAGGCAGAGAGGTCTTTCCCATCACCTCCTGCTGGCCCTTTGGAGATGCCGGGGATTGAACCTGGGACCTTCTGCCTGCCAAGCAGGTGCTTTGCCACTGAGCCACCACCCCTCCCCAGTGTTCATGCATGAAGCTGCCTTGTACTTCTTCTCCACGCTCAGCACACCCTCCACAGACCTCCTCCTCTCCCCCTTCCTTAACACCCCACAGTACCTTTGGGCGTTTTTCAATCCAAGAAAGGACGTAGGGCTTCCAGCCCAAGTCGCTGTAGTCCGTGTACACCATCCCGCAGCGGGAGACCGTGGCGGGCGAGGCGACGGCCAGATTCTCCACCTCAAAGAGCAGCGAGACCTGGAGCGGGGCAGGAAGCTGCTATCAGTTCTGGCCCGGGACCGGCCTGCCTCGCCTGGCCTCGCCTTCCGGAGCCCCTCCTGCTCACCTGCTCGGGCATGGCGATCCTCTCGCCGTTGATCAAGGTGAGCACTTTGTTGTCGTCCATGACCGAGTTCATGCTCTCGATCCACAAGGTGTCCACGGGGCCGTCAAAGAGGATCCACTTCTCATCGGGCTTCTCGTCTGGGGCAGAGCAGGTAGGGGAGAGAAGCCCCGTTAGAGCCTGAGAAAGCTAAGGGAGATTTGAACGCAGAGCCTGGGGTTTAGATGGAACCAATGACCTCGTGGGGAGGATGGGGCTCTTCCTTGCTGGAGGCCATCAAGCAGAGCCCAAGGCTAGACCTTAGAAGCCCATCTAGTCCAACCAGCCAGTTCAGGGCAAGAAGTCCAGAACCAGGGGTTGGACTAGATGACCTCTAAGGACCTTCCAATTCTATGATTCTATCGGAAGACTCTATTGCAGACCTTTTCAGTCATTTTTCGTACTGCTTCCAGACCTAGAAATATGATGTTATGTTTTTAACAAATGACAGAATTTCCAGGGTCCTTAAAAGATTCCATCCTAAAAACCAGACTCAACCGCTTCCTGGTTACAGAATCATGGCCAGGAAGTAAACCGTGAGCAGGACCTGGCCCAGCAATGCTCCGGCCCTCATTGTGGGGGGCGGGGGAGATGCTGGAACTTCAGCAGCAATCACACACACACACGCATGCGGCACACGAGCTCAGATCTGCCCCAATTACAAGCCCGTCCAAAATCTCAGGGGTTCCGACAGATGCAGAAATTTCAGAGGAACAGCATTAATTTCCTTCCAAGGGAGTCTTGAAGAGGTTGATTGGCTCAGACAGTCGGAGGTGCCAGCTCTCTCGGAAGGGAGGAGTGATTGGCAAGCCGAGACTGGCACCTGGCGCAGCGGAGACGGCATTCCCAAAGGGTGAATACCTGTGCAGGCTTCGCGCATGATGGAAGCCAGAATGCCGTCGCACCACTCGCTGGTGGCTAGGTCATACCTCCCAAACAGCTCCCCCAAGCTCGCCGCTTTGGGGTTGAGGACAAATTCCTGCAAGGGGGGGGGTCAGATCAGGACAAGAGGGGTTAGTGGGTGACGGGGCACTGTCCAAGATGGGAAGCCAGACTCAAATGGGGGCGTGAAAAGCACCGCTCCTGTTGACCGAAAGGACGAGAGCAGACCAAGGAGTCTGTGTGCCGCCCGGTTGGGCTGAAATGCTTGGCCCCACAGTGTTTCTGGTCCACAGCCCAGCGCCTGTCACTCTGCACGCGGCCAGTTGCTCCTTCGGTCCGCCTCGGGCCGCACTGCACGTGCAGCGAGGAGCAGGGTCATCGGAACATATGCCCTGAGCGCCAATCAGTTTTGCCCGGCAGTCCTCCAGCTGCGTTTGGAAGATTAGCGGCCCCTGAAACACTGAGGTCCGCGGGAGTCACAGCAAACAAGCCCAGCGTCCCAATCACGGCAAGCCCAGCGTGGTGGTGGGAGGGTGCCCAGCCAGATGCCAATCGGAAACACAGACTGGCCCTGGGTAATCATCCAGTTCGCTTCACACGGCCGCTGCGCAGGCACAATATGCAAATGGATGGGTTAGAGGCTGATGGGAAAGCCGGAGCGGAGCCGGAGGGCCCCCCCCCCCCGAAGCAACAAGATGCCCTGACCCCAGCCGGGACTAGGCCCCCTTCCCTGCCTTTCGCCTCCTCTTCCAAGCCAAACCAGCCCGGAAGACTGAAAGCAAAGTCCAACCGGCACAGAGCCCCTGGATCGTTTTTCCCCACCCTCTGAAAACCAACGAGCCTCTCCCCACGCTCCCACCCTTGATTATCATAGAGATTGGGGTCAAAAGAAAGTCTTCCTCGTCTGTTTCCTGGGAACCGCAGAGCCACTGCCCCACTGGCATCGGGAAAAGCTAGTGCCCACGGGAGGCCTCCGCCCGATGCGCCAAGATAATCACCGGTGCCTCCCTTGGAGCAAGGCTATCAGGCAAACCCCGCGTGCATCCTGCATCACTGCCTAGGCTCGACACCAGGGGGTGGGGTAGGGAGGATGTACCATGTGCCTGGCTCAGCAGCCCCAGTCCTCAAGGGGAAACTCCCCCCAGCATCGCCTGCTCCTTCCGGATCCCTGGTGCCTGGTGGCTCAGCCCAGCAACCTTGCAGGTCCTTCCCTGCTCAAGAGTCGAGAAACTGGCTTTGAGAGGGCCGGCCGGCGGGGAAGAGGGGAGTCGGGCCACAGAAGAGAAAGGAGAAGTCAGAAAGGAGAAGGCAAAAGCTGCCGCCGGGCTGAGCCAGGAATGCTTGTCGGCTTCAGCGTCTGCCCGAGGTCTCTCCCATTCACATGAGCCCCTTGGTGGTCTTCACAGCACCTAGCCGGCCACTGATTTCCTTTTTGTGAGTAGTTTGTGTGTGTGTGCCTGGAAGTCATGGTTGACTTCTGTCAACCTCTAGAGAGGTGGGCTTGCTATTGCCTGCCTTTGCATCCCGGCCCTGGTATTCCCTGGAGGTCTCCCATCCAAATACCTGCCAGGGTCGGCCCTGCTTAGCTTCCGAGATCTGAGGAGATCGGGCTTTTCTGGGCTATCCAGGCCAGGGCCTGCCACTCGTCTGAAACAAAATGCTGGCCCGGGGTCGGGGTCGGGGTCAAGTCCAGCCAATGGATAAGCATCAGGTGGCTTGCCACTTCTCTCGCCATTCCCTTCTAGCCCCCCCGCCCCCCCCCAGAGGCACGACACCAGAACTCTAACCCTCTGCCTCCTGCTCCTCTGGGGGGACAACCAAACTGGAATGCGAAGCAAGACCCCTGCGGCCGTACAAGAGGGACAGGCCTGAGCCCCGGCGCCTCTCTCTTTCAGGTCCCTGTACCTGCACACGCCGTCCGCATGACGCTGGACAAAATGCCATCCGTCCACTCGTTGGTGTTGAGGTCGTACTCCCCGTACAGCTCGCCCAGGGAAACGGACTTCGGGTTCAGGGGGAACTCCTGGGGGTCCCACAGACAGCAGGAAGAGAGCACGGCGAGAAGCAGCACGCAGGAGGGGGTGCCGAGGAAGGGGGGGGAGAAGGGAGGGGAGACAGCAAGCGGCAGTCAGAAGCAAGCAAGGCCTCCTCCCCTCTCTGACCCATGGCCAGGTGGCCAGAGCCCAGGCCAAAGGGAATCGGCCACCTCCCCGTGCGAAGGCAGGGATGCAGGACACAAGGATCGATCAGCACAGAGAGAGATATATTTTTAGGTGCTTTTCTCTGTCATCGGAATGAAAACAACGGAGCCCGCGAGAGCAAACAAGGGGAGAAGAACATGGAATGCGAGAAAGGCACCCTCAGCAGCTCTCCCGAAGCCGTCCCACCCAGGATGGGCCAAGTGGGGTTGGGGCTCAGTGGCACAGCCTCTGCTTGGTGTGCAGGAGGGCCCAGGCTCAGTGCCCCGGCATCTCCAGCTGCAGGGATCAGGTGATGTGAACGGCCTCTCCCTAAAACCCCAGAGAGTGGCTGCCAGTCTGAACAGACCTAGAGGGACCGAGGGTCTGATTCAGAATAAGCTGCTTCATGTGCTCAAAGTCTAGGGGGTGCCATGGGGCGGAGGGGGGGAAGGGAGGGAGGGAGCCACCACTGCCGTTTGCGCTCTTTGCGCTCTGTCGCCCTCTCTCTCTCGCTGCCCTGCTCAGCGGAAAGCCCCTTGATTCGCGGCTCCCTGGCCAGCCAAGCGCAAGGACCAACTGACCCGGACCACGTTGAAGGAGGTGTCTCCGCTCTTGTGCAGGCTGCAGAGGGTGGCCTGCAGGGCGCGCCAGGTGACTGTCTTGCCGCTGCCCGTGTTGCCCACGATCATGGAGGAGTGGCGGGAGTTCTTGGTCTCATACAGCTGGATCACCTTGGTGATGGTGAAGGGAATCACCTGCAGGCCCATCTCCCGCAGCTCCGTCTCGAGCACTTCCTTGAGCTGGGAGGGGGAAGGAACAGAACCCTTGAGATCAGACGACCCTTTCTCCTGTACTGCACCTCCGCATCCCGGCTCTTTCCTTTGCCGCACCACTCCCCCTTCAGACTGGGATAGAAGGACTCCGGGATCGCCATTTCTACTTGTATCTGATGAAGGGAGCTCTTCTCTCAAAGGCTCACACAACCCCCCCAAAATCTTGTTGCTCCTGGGCTCAAACGGATCTGTTCCCCTTAGTGGCGTTCTTGCCTAAGCTGCAGAGTGCCGCGCTCTGTAGCCCTTCCTCAAGCCGCAGGGATGTCTCAGCGCTGGCTGGCTCTGTTGCCTTGTCTCCCAGGAAGAAGACCTGAGAGGCCAGTGCAGAACGGGCAGGAGGGGTCAAGGACTTGGTGGACTGACCTTTCCGTAGTCGATGACGGGGCATTCGATGCCCGGGAAGAGGTCCTGGATGATGGCGTTGAAAAGGGGCACGTCGTTGGAGGTCAGCTTGGCGATGTTCATGTCTTTCATGGCCATCAGGAGGACCTAGAAGCCAAGGGCAGGAGAACGGATGGAGGAGGAAGCGGCCCTGAGACGGGAAGCCGGAGCAAAAGCCATCTCCGAGGCCACCAACGTGGGCACCCCACCCGCGCGCTTCCAAAGACGGCCATTCCTGCCGGGGGGGGCACCCAGCCGCCACGCTTACTCTCCCCCCCCCGAGAGTCCTCTGCCTTGGCCACCCCTTGTGACACAAAAGCCGAAGCCAAGTGTCCCCCCCCCCTCACCTCCTCGTCGGCCAGGTCGGGGCGCACCCGGCGTTTCTTCCCGGCGTAGCGGAGCAGGGAGGTGAGCGCCCGGAGGCCGAAGTCGTAGTGGTCCTGCTTGGAGAGCTGCTGGATGGCCAGGGAGTAGAGGGTGTAGACCTTCTTGGCCAAGATCTGGCGGGGGGGGGGGAGGAGAGGAGAGCAGGTTGGAGAAGGGGTCTCCTCATCCTCCCCCACCACCCCCGGCAGCCCCTTCCCCGGCCGGCTGTGGCCAGCAGGTACCTTGCAGTTATTGAAGCCTTCTCCAAACAGGATGATTTCGGCAATGAGGGTGGAGTCCGGCACCACCATGGAGATGGGGCGGAACATGGACTTGAGGTTGTCAGGCAGCTCCGTGCGGCCGGCGTAACCTGCCGGGGGGGGGGGGCACAGCAAAGCGCCTCAGTGCCAGCCAACGCACAGGGGTGGAGGAGACTCCCTGACTGTTATGAGGCTGCAGGCACCTCCTGGATTCTGGCACGCGGGGGGGGGGCACAAGATGGCTGCAGCAGGAGGCGGAGCCAGCCACCCGCACAGAGGAGGCCCAAGTGGAGGGGAGGGGAGGGGCAATTTTAAAAATTACACTAGGAAGACAGAGAGAGAGAGAATAAAACCAACTCTGTGGCAGCAGCTGCCACTGAAACACTACCTTAGTTTGCACCGCCAATCAAATCATCAATGGCCAATCAGAGGCACCACCGGGCAAAAGTCCCAGATGGCCCCACCCACCCCCTAAAAACACTCGGTGGGCAGAAAGGAAGAGGAGGAGGAGGAGGAAGAGGAGGAAGAGGAGGAAGACGTGGAGAAGGAGGAGTTGGATCTATACCCTTCCCTTCACTCGGAGTCTCAAAAGTGGCTTACGATCAGTGTTCCCTCTAAGCTGAGTCAGTGTGAGCTAGCTGACAGCTTTTTAGCCTCCAGCTCACACATTTTTGCCTTCGCTCAGGGAGGACGGCTCCAGAGCCAACTGATTGAAGCAGCAGCCAGATCGCTCGCTCACAGCTTTAATGCCAGTGGCTCACAAAGTAGAATTTTTGCTCACGAGACTCCACAGCTTGGAGGGACCATTGCTTACAAGCCACTTCCTCCCCCCCACAACAGACACCCTGTGAGGCAGGTGGGGCTGGCAGGAGGACACTTGCCCCTGGGGGGGGCACCCGGCTGGGGACACCTGCCCTCCCCCCTCCGCCACGATGCCCGGGGGGGCCCTGCCCTCCTGGGGGCCCCACCTGGGTTCATGGTGATGAAGATGCCGCAGGACCAGACCAGGTTGATCTCGTGCCCCTCGAAGCTGAAGCGCGTCATGTTGGCCGCCAGGGCCGAGAGGATGGAGAGGATCTGCTGGGCCACCACCGACAGCACCTCGATGTTGATGCGGTTGAACTCGTCAAAGCAGCCCCAGGCCCCCGTCTGCGGGAGCGAGGAGAGAGAGGGGGCCAGCGGTGCCGCGGGGGGCGGGGCAGGGCAGGGCACCCGCGGGCCCCCCCCCCCCCGCCCTGGGCCTCCCCTCTCACCTGGGCCAGGCCGGAGTACATGCGGCCCATGGATTTGTAGTCCAGGCCTTCCGAGCAGTTCACCACAATCACGTACATGCCCAGGGCCTTGCCCAGATCCTTCACCGTCTCGGTCTTGCCCGTGCCGGCAGGGCCTTTGGGCGACCCTCCCCGGTGCAGGTGGAGGGCCGTCGTCAGGGTCATGTAGCATCTGGGGAGGGGAGGAAGGAGGGAGGAGACTGGATTGATACCCCGCGGCCCTTCTCTACCCAAGGGAGTCTCAGAGGGGCTCACAAACCCCTTTCCCTTCCCCTCCCCACAACAGACACCCCGTGAGGTAGGCGGGGCTGAGAGAGCTCTCATGAGAACTGCCCTTGAGAGAACAGCTCCGAGAGAACTTGTGACTGACCCAGGGTCACACCAGCAGCTGGACGTGGAGGAGTGGGGAATCAAACCCGGTCCTCCCAGATTAGAGTCTGCGCACTTCACCACTACAGTAAACACCAGACTCCGGAGCACAAAGACTGGGGACTCCCGCTGCCAGCCTCCCACCTTCCCAAGGCCCTCCTCGGCCCCCGCATTCTTGCTCCGCCCCACCGCGAAGAGCGGCTCCTTCTGCTGATTCCGAGGCTCTCTAGGGGTCTCGCTTCTTCCGCCTTCCAACCCCCCCGGGCTGCCTGCCTTAGCCGTCAGCTGCCTTCTCTCCCCCCACCATGGCCCGGCCTGAGGGGACCCCAGTCTGTGGAGGCCATCTGCTGGGAGGATACCTGTCCGTGAGGGGGGTGATGACCAGTCGGCCGGAATTCCCCAGGTACTCGTAGCCATAAGCAAACTGCGTGTTGGTCTGCCTGATGACACAGTCGTCCAGGTCCTGGGGGTGGGGGGAAGAGCACCGACAGAGTGAGTGAGTGAGTGAGTGAGTGAGTGAGTGAGTGAGTGAGTGAAAGGGATGGAGCCAGGACCCTGGGCCAAGCCCAAGAAGAGAAAAGAGCCAGAGTCCAGGAGCACCTGGAAGACTAACAGGTGCTGTGGAAGGAGAGGAGCTTCCGCAAAAGCTCCTCCTCCACCACAAATTTTGTTACTGGATTCTTGCTCCCGTCTACCCCTACAGACAGACTAGCACAGCTACCAATGTTCCCTCTAAGCTGAGTCAGTGTGAGCTAGCTCACCGTATTTTAGCCTCCGGCTCACACATTTTTGTTTCAGCCAATGCTCCCTCTAAGCCGTGGAGTCTTGTGAGCAAGAATTCTCCTTCGTGAGCTACTGGCGTTAAAGCTGTGAGCCAGCAATTTGGCCACTGCATCAATTAGTTTGCTCTGGAGCCCTCCTTCCTCAGCTAGGACAAAAAGGTGTGGGCTGGAGGCTAAAGAACTGTGAGCTAGCTCACACTCACCAGCTTAGGGGGAACACTGGTCTCGGCTCAGGGAGGAGGGCTCCAGAGCCATTTAATTCATGCAGGAGCCAAATCGCTCACTCACAAATTTCAGGCCAGCAGCCCACAAAGTAGAATTTTGGCTCACAAGACTCCACAGCTTAGAGGGAGCACTGATGGCTACCCACCTTGAACTACCTCCACGGAAGCCTAGCGGCTACGTCCAGGCCGGCGAGAAAGACGGAAGAGCCCAGCTGGAGCCTTTGGGGGTGCCAAAGCAGTCAAAAGAGGAGACACACACACCCCCCGGTGCGCCTCCCACCCACCCCCGTCCCAGGCCAGCCTCATGACATGGGCTCTTCTGGGGACATCCTGGCGCTGCCTGGCTGCGGGGTGTTCCCCACACCCTTGCCTTTCCTACCAGGCAGAGGAGAGAAAGAGCGATGCAGAAGGACAAGCGGATTTGCCTGAGGGCACCCCAGGAGCCAGTGGCAAGGAGAGAGCCGTCCCCTTCCTTCGGTTCCTGGAGGGCCCCGTGCTGTGGGGGATGCAGTTACAGGGGCACCCTTAGCGAGGGGCCAGCCAGACCCAGAGCAGCCGTGCGAGGAGTTGGAAAAGTGCCAGCCAGCCCCATGCCAGGGAGAGGAGAAACACGAGA